TGTGTCTCTCAACTGTCCGTTCACCTGCCTGATTTTGGTTTTCTTTTAACAAACAGAAGATAAACAATAAATTATGCAGCCTGAGGCTGAGATTCCAAGACATCCCCCAAAACTGACTTAGAAGCAGCAGCACATGGACATGTGGTAACTGCAGAAGTTTGTTAAAGAAGTCCCTGAGCAGGCTGGAGTTAGGAAGAAACAGTTCTTTCCTGGTTTGGTTTGTTATGAAAGGCTGGTCTTGAAACACAAAAGGGAAATATAATGGAATTTGATGCTGGTAAGATCAAAGAAAGCTTGTACTATACTGCCCTGCAGAGCAAGTATGTGATGTTACCATGAGGTATTTTTTCCTTGACTTTGATAGTCTGTGACCTCTATTTATAAAGACCAAGAACCATTACATTTGTCCTCTGAGTTGGTTTAGTATTTTTTCAATCCATTTTGCCCTTCTATATATATATATATAATGGACAACTGCGAGGTAACAGATACAAGCTACTCCTTCAATTCAACAGGGAAGAAAACACAAATAGATCCAATTCCCATTGGATCCCATTCCCAACACCAGTTCAGTGCTGACAGCTGAACTGGTGTTGGCCAACCCCTGAGTACATCTGAAGGCCTGTAATATTCAGAAGGCTTGCAGTTCACAGCCTGCCACCACCCTTAAATTCACATTTTGCTGCAGTTTAGACATTTTCAGTGTTTCAGCTCGCAGCTACATTCTTGTAGGACAGCAGGGAGGGACCTTGAAGCAGAAAGCTGAAATCTCCAGTCTCCAGTAATGACCCAGACTGAAGGGTATCCAGGCAAACTAATTGTCCATGTACTTCTTCTTAATTCAAATGTTTGAAGAAAAGAAGAAATCACATGTCAGCCTATCAGCTCTTTAATGCTTTGAGTAATTCAGCAAGAGATGGGGGTCAGAGAATGCTAAGACAGGGGATCAGCATTTTCTCAGCACGTTGTCTAATTAGCTCCTGACTCCCTGAGAGACTTCAAAATATTAACCTGACAAAGTTGGTGCCCACAAAAATTCCATATTATCTGGAAACTTTCCAGCTCCTTTCAAAGCTGGATTATGCCTATCTGTTCTGTGCATTTCCTTGTGATATGAATTTTATAGACTGCAATCATTATTAGGCAGAGGGCTGTTCAGAGACAGGGACTGACTTGCACACTCACTACTTGTCCTTGCATTAATGGGGGGTTGGGAAGAGACCACGACAGAAAATCCAGTAAGATTCAATCAGTTGCTGCTTTTAAATCAAAGTTATTTTAAATAGCACATGGATGAGGTGGAAATTTTAATTAATTTCAGCCAGAGTCTTTTCCTAAAGAAAACATGGATATTTAGAATTACCTGGAAGAATGAGAAAGTAGACTGATCTCACCATGGATAATTCTCAGGGGTGTTCCTTACAGAGGGAAAGGGATTTGGTGATTTCAGTGACAGTAGCTCAGCTACAGTGTGATCTGGCCTGTGAGTATCTGTAAAGGAATAAAAACCCACACATACCCCCCACCAATCTCTGAACTGCCTGGAGAATTTGGAACCTAGATATGCAGGATACAAACTCATCTGAATAAGCCTATGCCTGGGATTGTCACTGAGTGCAAACACAACCTCCTAGAAACAACGGGGAAGGAAGGACAGAGAATAATTATCTCCCTGCACCAGCATTCCTCTGGGAATGTCTGAGAAATACACTGCATTTACTGTGTCCTTGTGACAAAATATTGACTTCCATGACATTAATTGTGAGCAAGTACTAAAGCATTGGTCTCTGTAGCATATAGCTTATTTTATAAAACTTTTAATGGCATATTTAAAAATAAGTGTACATTTTAATAAACATGCTCAAAGAACAAAAATTGATTGCTTACTGTGAAACCTCACAATTTTAGCCCTCCCTGTTCCTTTATGACTCATATATGAAATACATTTTCACTTGCATTAAAAACAGAGGACATCAGCTTTGTATGTTTTCCTCCAGTTGTTGTTATGCATATTAAACTGATCAGAAATTCGCTGCCTTTCCCCAAATGTGCTGAGCACCCACGATGAGTTGCAGAGCTCCTTTTACTGCTGTTGACTCGTGAGATGATCAGCAGACATTACAACTGCTTAATTCAAAGAACAGGTCTCAAAGCCCCAACCAGCTGTTCAGAGAATATCCTATTTCAGCTTTTCTGTAAAGAAAGTAACACTCTGTGGTTGGTCCCTGTTCCCATGCACAGGTACTATCTGACCATTTTAGATATAAGTGTCTATTTTTGTTTATATGGTCTATCCCACACCGTTCTTTAAAAAAAAAAATAATTAAAACCTATGAATTCTGTGAGGCTACACTGTACTGAGTCATCCTGATCCTGCCACCAGAAACACAAACCTTGGCTCTTGTCCAGTGATCCCACTGAGTGTGGCTGCTCCCAGTTTCCAGCACTCAGCCTCTCAATCTGATCTCACCTTTGTTTTCACTTATTCATTTTAGCTCCTGCTGTTTCCCCCTGTACTTACAGGATCACAGGAATACTCCCAAGCAGTTTTCCTCCAGTCAGTGCACATTTCACTGCAGTTCAGTTATGTATTGATACTGCAACCACAGCTGCTCCCAATTTTAATTCCTTGCAATGTTTCAGAGAGAACATGAGTTTTTCATCTGGATATTGGCGAGACTACTCACTTTGGGAGTGCTGGCAATGAGTAAAATTAGGCAGGTCAGCAGGCCTTTGCAGGCAGGATAGAGTTATAGGAGCTTTCCTCTAAAAGAAACCCACATCATTATTCAGGCATTATAAATTACACCACTTTTAGGGGGAAAGGAGAGTAGTCATTTGACATGGCACTGTGTGACAAGGAGTGAATATTTGGCTGAGGGCTCTAAAGAACACCTCCACCTTGATGGAAAGTGTTATGGAATCTGTAATATCCACACAAAACCAGAAGGACCTTAGCTTAATAAGGTCTCATCCAAATGACTTTCTCACTAAACTGCATGGAATTCAATTTCTCTGCCTCTGAAAGATGAAGGGCAAGTTGGTCCTGCCAGGGATGTAAATTTATGGCTCTGTGGCCTCAAAATGTGAAATGTATAGCATTAAACAGCACTGAGCTATTATTTAAAAAAAAAAAAAAAAGAAAGGAGGTGGGAATATGTAGGAATACAATCATAAAAAGGAGGCAAAGGTTACATAATTAGTACTATGTATTGCATACACAGGCAAGATGAGGCAAGATTGCATACAGAAAAGATGAGGCAACTTTTGGCAGAATATCCTCCAAAAAAAAAAAAAAAAAGGGAAGGAAATCATCATAAAGGTAGAAGGAGACTGAAAAAAGATGACTTCTATCTGTCCTCAGTTGTCTTGTGTGCCTAGAAGTCACTTCTATAAATTACACTCTATCCAAGTGCAGTGAGACCAGGTCACTTCTCATGGCTCTCACCCACCACATCAACCAGGCAGGAAGCAACTCCCTCTGTTCACGCAGTGTGGTGGTTTCTCCTTCTGGCTAATCAAGTGGAGAGCACTTGCTGGGATTTGTAGTAGCCCCAGTTTAAAATGGGAGGCTGCAATGAGTAAGGTATCCCTGCAATTTCCATGGTAGACCATTTTTCCTGCGTGTAATCCATTACTGCAAATCCCAACAATAATTCAGACCAGTGATAATCCTCCATGGCATTGACCCTAAAGATCTTTACAGCAACACAAATGAGATCAAAGGACAAATGAAAGTCTCTTAATCCCCCTAAGTGTGAGTTCAACCTAATCTTACATTTCTGTCTTTTAATTCTCTCTAAATCTGTTTTTAACTTTGCTTAACATTCATTATCCTTTTTCATGCCCTAATTCTGCAAGAAAAAAAAAAATAGCCCATGTGTGGGAGTACATTCAACATTTCTACACGGGGATGGTGTTTTTAATATGAAACACCAGTTTGTCAGCAATTAGAGTGGGAAGTAGGTGGAGGTGAGAAGTGGATGGAGGATATACAATGGAGGATTAAGATTGATGAATGAGGGGCAGAAAGGCTCCGTGGTGATGGCTATGCCACTTGTAGGAGCACAAAATCTAAATAATAACTTTTCAACGGGAGATTGTCAGAAAAAAATTAAATAAAACCAAACCAAACCAAGCCCACAAATGAAAAACCCCAAATAACAACAAAACCCACCCAACACCCCCCACCTCACACACAGAGCATTCCTCAAGTTACCTGGTATGATTTGATCACAATTAGCTGTCCCTTCTACCCTGCTGACCTCATGTCATACATAAAGGATCTCATACCTTTTGACTGTTTCACTAATCAGGTCCTGTATTAATTTTACAATGCAGCTCTCGCTCAATAATGTTTGGAAGCCATGCCAACACTTTTCTGTTACACAGATTTGTGTATTTTGGGACATTGAAGGCTTTTTTCATTAAGTATTATTCTTTGCTAATGTGTAGTTAATAACATAATGGAAAAGCTTTTAAACTCCTCTGAGAATTAAACCACTCACACTTGTTTAACTGCTTGATTTCCTAATGGATATAGTGTAGGATTTAATATTCTGCTCATTTACATTACTTACCAGAAGAAAGGAGACTTTTAACTGCTTTTTCTAAAAACAACAGTAAATCATGTTTAAGTTGATTGATTTCTGCATACATATTAACACAGACTAATGAAAGGCACAATATCTTCACAATCCACGCCATCGTGTTCAACTACTGCTGAATATTAGATTTTTTTTCATTTTTCTTTTTTGCTTAGACTGGAGAAACAGCATCCCTATTGTATGGTAGAATTTGACTTATCTCACAGCTGGATTCACTCCTTTGCACAAAGTGTGGTGCTAAGTTAAACTAAAATTCCATTTGGTCCGTAATTAACAGAGCTACGCTGATTAACACCAGCCACTGCTCCAGCCTTATACATCTGGTATCATAATTGAAAATCAAACATGAGAAAACTTTTAAGGATTAGATTATATCTGCTTTATTCACTCTGAGAAATACTTTATCCCCTAACACAGTCATTAAAATGGACATCAGCCGAGAACAGCAGTAGAAGCTGCAAGCACCTCACAGGCAACTCTTCAATGTGTTGTCCCTCATTCCATCCTGCCTTCTCTCTCCCACAGATATTCCAGTAGCTGCATTGTGATGGTGAATTTATGACACAGATTAAAATCTTCATATATAACCCCAGCCTGAAACATCCCCAGTCATTCCCAACGAGGATGTAAAAGTTAACTGAGCACGAATCTCCATATATAACTATCAAATTCATGACCACCACCTCAGAGTCAGCCATTCATCCACGTCAGCATCTCCAGCAAACTACCAGCTCCAAGCTGTCTCCTCAAACAAGAGCACTCTGCATTTTAAAAAAAAAGTCAGACAGAAATGTCTAATAGAGAGAGAACTGTGTAATAAGGGCAGTTCTCCAGGTACATTGTAATGCTGATTGATTAACTTCTGCAGTTCTGATTACTCTGCCACCACAGTGTTCTGTTCTCCTCAAGGGGCACTGCTGGCACTCAGTGGATCCATCCCGAGATCACAGCACTGCTCAGCACGAACAGGACACGAGGGAGCAGGGACACACTCACAGCTGGACACAAAGAACCAAGGTCTCAACAACTATTCCCCTCAGATAACCCCTAAGTCCACGGGCTGTCCACATTCCTGAGGGGAATCACAACAGCACAGCTGATATCCCAAGAGCTGTTCTCTCATAGAAATGGTCACATTTAGAGCCTCAGAATCGCTACCCTGACATGTTTTACTGAGGATGCTGTGAAAAATTAGCGTCATGAGCACGAAAATAATCATAATCAAAGTGATTGAAAATTACTGTCATGAATGCTGAAACAATCAAATCCATAAAGTGCACCACAATATTTTACCAGCTACTCCAGGCCACACATCAAGTTTGTCAAATGATATTTCTGCAGTGTGAGTGGCAGCTGTGATCCAGTACAATCACACCCGAAATGCTCTCATTAGCTGCATGGCTGGTACAAATGTGTGACCTGTAAGGGCTGGCATCTCACAGAAGTCTGTTAGATAAACAAAACCAGCAAAAGGCAGAGAAACCTCAAAGCAAATGAGCAGGATATGTACAAACCTCTTCGGTTGTTAATAAATCTCCATTTTTCTTTTCTGCTGAGGCAATATGCTTTAAGAGAATTTCTCAGGAAATGAAAAAAAAGGACAAAGTACCAGACAAATGTTTCAGTGGAAAACTCTCAAGCATTAAATTGGTTGTTCAGTTGGATTATGTGGAATTCTGAGTTCCAGATGTGCACTACCTTCCTCCTTGCCCTAGACTCCTTTGAAAGGAGAGTCAGGGACGCAGACAGAGAAGACTGTGGTGTATTCCATCAGGGTTCTGGGATGCAAGGAACATCCAGAGCACCTTGCCTTGCAATAAGAATTCAGGCAGGATGCATTCATGGGGACTCAAGACTTCAGTATGCCACAGAGTGGTGTGATAACTTTAAAGAGTTCAGGTTTAGGTGGGATACTGGGAAGAAATTCTTTCCTGTGAGGGTGGGGAGGCCCTGGCACAGGTTGCCCAGAGAAGCTGTGGCTGCCCCATCCCTGGAAGTGTCCAAGGCCAGGTTGGACGAGGCTTGGAACAAGCTGGGATAATGGAAACTGTCCCTACCCATGGCAGGGGGTGGAACAAGATGATCTGTAAGGTGCCTTCCAACCCAACCCATTCTAGCTGGGTTGATACAGATGTGATTGTAATGCAGAATTTTGCAATATAAAACAAAACCTCTAAATGCAAGGGATTATGTTCCCCCTAAAATCACAGAAGGGAAGTGAGGTCTTAAATCATGTGAATAAGCAATTGAAACAGAATAAACAATTCCATTTGAGCCTCAAGTTAATTATGGCACTGTAGCTGTCAAAAATTCATCTGAAGCACTTGCTGCCTAAATTGAAGGTTGGACATCCAAACTGAAATGTCATTTTTATTAGTCCCTGACACTTAGAGAAATAGCCTCTTCTCTTCTAGTAGGCTATAGCCATTAACTCCCATTAGTGCTAATGGAGTTATGCACATACATCACATGCACATACATCACTGAGCACCTTTGGAACACTCATAATGTCACATTAGATAACAGCTGTTTTATTGCAGTATAGGAAAGTGATTCCAGGTGAGGCTGGTCAGGCCCATTAAGACCTATATTGGTGCACTCAGTGCCCTGACACCTGGGGCAAAATAGAATTTTTAAACACACACTGCAAAGAGACTTAAACCCAGAGAGGCAAAGCCAAAAGGGACCACATCTCAAATTTTGCCCAAATTATATATATTATCCCAGAAGTTTTGCCACCTTTCCTAAGGAGTTGTTCTCCCTGCAGACCTGTCCCTACCAACCCTTTTGGGAATGGACTGTACAATCTCCAAGCCACCTCAGCTGTGGTAGACAATTATAGTTATCTGTCCAGAAATACTTGCATTTCCAATTTTAATATAATTATCCTCATAACCCCCCATTAAAATGCAGAAATGTAATCATCCTGATTCTACTGATGGGCAGTTCATGCTCAGAGAATTAACTGAATTGCCTACAGTAATTTAGGAAATCTGTTGCAGAGCCAAGCCTAAAACTAGGGTTATACATGGCCTCTAACATGGAACCAACCTTCCTCTTGGAAAAAATAAGAATTTGGCCTCCCTTAGGCACTCTTCGTGTCCCAGTGTTACTCCTGTTTCAGTGCAATGACATGTAAGACAGAAATTATCTGACTTTTTTTAATTGACAGGCAGCTGAGAACCGTAGTTCGTGAAAGGGTTTTTGGATTTTCCCTTTTGTGTGTGCTTGCCAGAAAAAACAGAATTTTTTTTTCTGTTATTTGGATTTCAGAATCACTACCCTTGTGCCTACCATGCTTTTTTAAAAACCTGAAATTTAGGTTATGAACAAGAAACTGAAGTGCTACAAATATCCATTAACAACGAGGAAAACCTGACCCAAAGAACCTTGTGGCTTCAACAAGTTTTACTGCTCTTATTCACGGTGTGAAACTTCCTCTGAAAGGAAAATAGTTGAGATCAGGCAACAAATGAACTCTTTGGAATATATATAATAATATATGTTGGACTTCAGGACATCATTGCACCCTTCATTATATTGCATGTTAGACACAGACCTGTTAATTAAATTGCTTTGAATCTTTAGCTGAAGGCCAGTGGTATAAAATTCCAAGAACTCTTTGGAGCAGGGTGGTTCTGTTTTCCTGGTTTTTGGATGCCTGGATACCATCAGGCTGCAGATATGGAATGAGAATGATAACATCTGCTCCACGTTCAGTTTAAATGTCCAGTGCTGTGCAGCTCTTTAACTAAGTGAGGGGCCCTAGAAGCTTGGGGTCATTTCTGGGTGATGTGAACCAAGGATTTTCTCCCCAGCTGAGCCACCTGTGACCTCTGCAGCAGCACAGGCTGCTCTGCCCCTGGTTGTGCACAAACAGGATGTCACATCTCAGAAGACAGAGCCCACAGAGGGGGATTATAACAAACCCCATGGTTTGTGTTTATCAAGCACTGTGCCCGTTGTTATAATCCCCAAATGCCTTGCATTATGGATTTGCCATTCCTGGCAGCACTCTATCAATAGGAAATTGAGTTGAATCTTTTAAGCTGAAGATAAGTGTGACTAATTGCCATCTTCAAACAGCTCTTGCACTGAATTAATTCTTGCACTTAGATACCATGTTTTATTAATGTTGGGATCCAATCTACCACAAAGGCAGTATGTAGTAAGGGTGAAAACATTTACCATTGATTGTAATATCAGCTCCTAACAGCTCTGGGGCACTTCTCAGATACCAGTTAAGGAAACCCTGTGAACTGTGCAGAGCTCCAAGCAGCTCTGTGCACACTGGAGTATTCACCTTAGTCATCCCAGTTCCTTTTGTGCAGAGAACAGATGGCAACAGAATCTGATTTTTAGTAGTCCTGTACAATCCCTGCTAAGTGGTTGTCAGAATTTACTGTCGTTGTTACGTGCTGTAGATGCACCGAGTGGAAATTTTAGAAAGACTTTTATAAATGTCACTGTAAAACACTTTCATCTCTGGAGTAGTTGGGTTGAGAACCCTCCAGTGTGGTCAGACAGGTTGCTAGAAAATATGAATGGAGGAGAGGCCCTCACTGAGCTTTGAGGCTGCACCATTTTTGGGGTGTCAGTGGAAGGTGGGAGGGGTTGTTTCTGTGGGACAAAAGAACCTGCCTTTAACTCAGAGGTCACTGGGGCAGAACTGCTGATCCCTCTTTCCAGATGGTTTGAGGGCTGATCCCACGTGCTTGGATTGCACGTTTATTTTGTACTATTTTGTAGCAATGCATAATGTAATATTGCTGCAAAAAGAACAGCTGAAAAGCCAAACAACCCTACATCTCAGACATTTGGAGTTTAAGTGACCTGCCTTCCACCCAGGCTTTTACAACATGAGATGACATTGCTAAAACAGACTGACTGAGAAAGAATCAGCAGCTCACCATGCAAACAGGTTAGTAAATCATTTTAGGGCTGAAAGAAGCTTTTATATTAATGAAATGGCTTTGTATTACAAACCTAATCTGGATAACCTGCTTAATTCCTTGTCATCTTAATTCATGAATTTATGTTAGGAATTCCCAAAAGTCTGGGACACTTGCCTGAAATTTTTAATTCCTTTCAAAATCATACATCTCAGTTTAATCAGAAATATAAATGCAGTGTACCCAATATTTCTTAAACAAATGGAACTTTTTTATTTATTGTAAATAAATATAGCTTAAAAATATTTTATGTATTTTCCTATTGAAGAACATTGCAAATATTAAATATATCACATTAGTCTACAATTCAGTTAAACGGATTTCTATTACTTAGCAATTCACATGTAGATTTTTTTCTAATGGAATTTTAAAACACAGATAATCCTCACAACATGTTCATGAATACTGTTTAAGTCTCATAATGTTCTTGTAAGGCAGTGTAGAATGCTTTTGGCTTTCAAGAGAAATACCTTGGGTATGGCAACCAAACCTGGGAATCAGCAGAAGACATAGAACAAGACCCACTATCTACAGCCTGCAGTGTTTACAGCTCCCAACCCCCCCAGTCATTCCAGCTGTGTACCTCTAGTACAGCAACACCTTCCTTAAAACCATTTTTTGCTCCTCTAGAAGTGGGAATGCAGCTGTAAGATCCAACCCACCTTCAGCTAAAGCCACGGTGAACTCAAACCCATCCACAGATAATTTTTGTTCCCCGTGCAACAAGAAAGTTTTCACAGGGACAAATCGATCCCTTCCATTCCCTCTGAACAATGTACTTTGGCATAGTCAAAAGGATCTTCCTTTAT